CGTCTCCTGTCTCTGTTGAGACCCCCCCCCCCCCCTCCTCCGCCTCCTCCTCCTCCGCCTCCTCCTCCCACTCACTCACTGGGGTTTGTAATCATGATGCAATTTTCCAAACCTTGTCGTTCCTCACAATTCACCTTGTTTTCCTACTTCAATTTCTGCTCCTACCAGTCACATGATCTACCTCAGCTACATTTCTTACCTGGAAATCACACTTCACTTCTCTCTTCATTAACAGTCCAGTTACCTTAGTAACTAGACTGTAGGAAGTCTTGAACATCACATGAACATCAATCTCTCAAACTGTCTCAAAAAACCTTGTTTTTTTCTCGCCCTGTGGCTGTTACAGTTTTTTTCCATTTTTCATCCCGCGCCTGTTTCATTCCATTAGCCTGAGCCTCCGCAGCCCTGCTCATCTCAACAGGCATCTTCACTGTCCAGGAACTCCTCCTGGCCACTGTCACTGCCACCAAGCTCAATTTTACAACCTCCAGTAATTAGACTTCCTGTTCATTCATGAGCCACCTCTTCAGATTGAATTCTGCAGCTGCGTCATGGTGTCTGAGTTTGGATCCGGCTTCCTGCTGCCTGCAGCTACAACTGAGATTGCTGTGGGGACCTGTGACTATCTAACCCGCTGCACAGTGACATTTTGCTCTGCACTAGTAATTCACTCTGGGGTAATTTGTCTGTGCGATCTCAATATCTTTTTTTTTTATTTCTACTTTTATTTTTCCTTATGTTTATGTTGTATTGTCTCTCATTTATATGCCTCTGTGCAGGTGACAGCCAGCGGTCGGAAGCATTATGTTTTCGGGTTGTCTGTCTGTCTATCCATCCGCCACATTTCCCGGAACATCATATTTGAAGAATGCCTTGAGGGAATTTCCTCAACTTTGGTAGAAATATTCACATGGACTCAAGGATGATATGATTGGACTTCTGTGGTCGAAGGTCAAAGTTCACAGTGACCTTATATGAATCTGGTAAAAAAAAAAAAGAGTATGTAGAATGTGCACAGAAACCAAACTGGTTGCGGAGGCATACTACTGCAGACTACTGCAAATTAGGCCAGACAAGCTAAATTTGAGACTCAGAGACCTTATTAGCACTCTTATGAAATACAGCTCCCACAGGCCAGTGTCAACGTACAAAATGCAGGAGAATTACAGTATGGAACCTGCACACTGGCAGGTCAATGTCTTTTGAGTTTCTCAATCTCCCTCTCTACCTCCAATCATTGTGTTTTCCTTACCTCAGTAATGTAGTCATTACCATCCTTGCCACAGATGGCTTTGATGGCACAGATATCCAGCCCTCCAAAGATCTCTGAACAGGTATCAACCCACAGCTTATACCTGTCACAAAGAGAAGAGCACAGACGGTTCACTGGATTAGACCAACAAAACGCACAATCTGTTCACAGATAATTTAATAAAACACTGGGCTGCTACATACAGTAACTGCAGATGGGATAAAGTTGTATCAATACTGACCAAAAGGATAATGTGACTGGAAGAGCTACTTCTTTCCACAGTGTCAGATTCAATTATAATTATACCCTCAAATTTGGAAGCATTAAAGTATCTGTAGTCTGGTATTATCTGTCACAGAGTCCGGGACCTTTACTCATTTTAATGGTTTTGTTTTTGCAAAAGATGATTTATGATTAAAAACACTGACTTTGAGAAAACATGGCTGATACTTCCTGATTCTGTGGAAGCGGAAAGTTGTTTGTTCAGACACCAGATGAAAGAGGAAAATAACTGCTACTGTTGAGCCAGTGAGCTGCTGGACGACTAATATCAATAATTACGCACGCTTAGAGTAAACAGTTATAATCCAGATTCTAGCCATGAACCCTCTGCAACTAATTTCTCTTTATTTCTGTGTCAAATAAAAATTGGATGCACAAATATCAACTCATTTTCAAACATGTTTACTCATGTGATCTGCTTTCATCTGAATAAATGTGCGTCTGTGACATAACAAATGACAACAAGTGTGACACCAGGGCAGCCTGAGCATCACTGATGTGGAAGCGTTGCTCACTTGTCAGTCATGGCTACTTGTTCCAGCATGGCAGATCCGGTGTTGCTCTTCCAATTACCAGAGATGGATGTGCGCCTGGAAAAGGAGAGGAAATTGGGCATTAAATTATTACAGACATTCATCACTTGTAGAAATTATAACTACAGGAGAATAAACTCAGACAGAACTCGACAACCTTGTAGCAGCAGGTTTATGGTTTTAGAGTTAATTTTGTGTGAAAAGCCTGTGTGGTCTGGAAACAAGCACAGGCTGATTAGCATCCTGGAAAATGGGCCAGTTACCACATGGTCTTTTTTTTACAGCGAGTGCACAGGTTGACACACAACAAACACAGGTTGACACACAACAAACACAGGTTGACACACAACAAACACAGGTTGACACACAACAAACACAGGTTGGCACACAACAAAAAGCATGAAGAGAAAAAGAACAGACATATTAAACAGCAAACATTTCAGGGGTTGTTATAAGTTCATGCTCTGTGAAGGGAAATGTTTTCTCTGCTACGCAACGAACAGATGCAAAATACAAATGCATTAAATTAACACATGGAAAATTTGGTTTTTCGCTGAACGCAGCTAACAAGTAAAAGGAACACACTTACATGTATGCTTTGTAGTCAGCGCCGATTTTCTGGACCCTGATGTCGTACTTGGCGTCTATGAATGGTTCTGTGGTGCAGTAAGTCTGAGTGATGGCCACCACACTAGCAATATCCTGGAAATCACTCACATTGTCCACTTTGACCTACAGAGGAAAAATACACATGAAACATTGTTTATTTAAAGTCGTGGTCAGTATACTGGCAATTACTTCCTGTAAAAATGTGTCTTCTGATGTTGCACAATAAAACCAGAGTTGTAAAAAGTTCCATGTTACATTTGAGAGATTTTCTGGGCTAATTTTCTTTGTGTTTGTATTTCTTTGGCTGTGCGGTTGTTGGCGCTGCTGCCTCACAGGAAGGAAATTCGAGGAAGTTCTAAATGCGATGTACCCCATCTCTCACCCCACGTTAGCTGGGATATAGCTATAGCTATAACTACAGTGTAGCTAGTGGATGGATAGATGTTTTTCTTCTTATTAAACGTAAGGTTTTGTGTTTTTCTGAGAGAAGGATGAGACGTTTCACACAACTCTTGTCTCAGTGAGAAGCTTTTGGAGCTAGAGCCATAAGACAGTTCATTTCATAGTTACAAAGGTAAAGGAACACTAAGAACATTCACTGCTAAATTGAAACAGCTTAGCTAATCAGCTTGCTGTATCTTATGTACAGATATGAGCTTGGGGTCAGTATTTTTCTTACATGTCAGACTATTTCTTTAAATATGCACAAAAGCTTAACAATTTAAACAATGGAAACTCAATAACTGCTGATTTTGAGTGTGGTATTTGACTTTATTCAATCAATATTATACATCTTATCAAACATCAGAGTCATTTGGAGTGTGGAAATACTTTGAAACTGTTAATGTCTGAGAAGAGAAATTCTTTCAAAAACTACACTGCATGGAAACTTTTTTTTGGTATTACTCGTAGTGGTATGCAACAGCAGCAAAAAGCAGATAAAGTGTGATATTTACGTCTGAGGTAAAAAAAACAGGTATGGATTAGATGGAGTAAAAAAAAAAAGGCAAAAAGGAACAGGGTGATAAAAGGACCCAGGGTGATAAAAGAGAAAATATAATAACATAATATCAGATGGAGCGTTTCAGGGGAATGTTGTGTGGTGGATCAATGAGGAGGAAAGAGGAGAAACACATCACACTCATTTCACACTGAAAAAATATTAACACAGTGCAATACCAGCAGAAAGAGAGGAGAAAAAGTAAATAATATAAAAAAGATGTGCTGCAGCCATGAAGGGAAAAAACTGTGAAATAAACTAGAATTAGAGAAAGACAGAGCATGAAGAATGAAAATAAGTGGTGGTGCCTGTGACAGAGACGTGGGCCTACACTGGTGCTTATTCAACTATCTCTGGGCTGAGATTTTAAACCACTTCCAAACGGCAATTTCTCAAATGATGCAACAGTCTAGTTGGGTCCGCTCCACTTCACCATGTGGCTACTTTCTCCTATTATGTGAATTCGTCTTCAATTTAGGCAAAACAAACACCATCTGACGCCTGCACCATTCTATCACGATGAGACTGCGTCACACTTTTCATGTGTTTTTGCAGTCCAACAACGTGGCATTTCATAATTTAGTAAAATAACTGGTTCTGGCAGTCTGTACAAATGGAGGGAGGACTGTTTGTAAAGGAATAATCATTACCTTTCCCATTCCAGAGTGGGCGTGTCCGATCTTCACCACCACTGGGAAGCTTGGTGTTGTAATCTGAAACGAAACGGGATAAATGATGATAAATAAAGATGAACAAAACTTAATGACAACAGATGTTATTCATAAAACTATAGTGAATGACTCCATTTCCACTGTTCACAGATGTGTGTAGATAATGATGCCTTAATGCCCTGGAGCTTTTAACACACCATTTGAGAGGAAAGCCATTTTATGCAGAGAGCATATCAGAGCAAAGTCTAGGGATCACTAAAGTCATTACCTCAGGTCATTTCTGCTTGGAGGGTAAGATACATTTACAGAATATGACCTGCTGGTGGCACTAGAGGGGAAGTCAGATTCATCCTCTAAGTACCAGTGACGTTTGTGTGTTATTGTCCTGGAATTCAAACAAATATCTCAACAAATGTCATTGATACATTTCAGTGAGGCATGCTACCTAATGAAGAGTGATCTGTAATTACCTTAAAAAACCTAAAAATTAAATAAATGACTCAAACTATCTGTATATTATCTATGAAAATCCCAACTGACTATAGTACAGTGCAGAGTCATTTAGTTAAGATTGGAAATGTGGTTTCTCACCAACACAGCAATACTTGTACTTTACAGCTGAGCGCAAATCAACTGTGACTTTTATACCCATTCACATTAATGACTTAGATGTTATTGTTACTGCAACTAATCTCAAAACATCTAGGACTGAGTTTAACACCAACATCAGCCTCTGGGAGGAGAAGGAGGTCATCAAAAGACGGAAAGAAGAAGAGGCAAAGGATGGTAGTTTTATTTTCTGTGTTTGAGGAGGCTGTCCCTAAAGTGTGCATAAGAGGCTCCCTGTGTGAGACCCTCTCAGCATTCAGGACCAGAGTGTGAGGGGATCCGACTATTGTAAGTTTCTCTGTGTTGTCTGCAGAGAGAGAGGGAGAGAGAGGGAGAGAGAGAGAGAGAGAGGGAGAGAAAGAAAGACAAGAGAGCGGCAGCAACCTTCCCTTCAACTTACTTTATCCAGCAGCTTTAATTCAGAGGTATATTTTAAACTTGTAAAAACATTTCTATCCACAGCTGCACTTCAGCACAGCAGAGGTTTTCTTACTGCTTCAACTCTACTCTCTCATCTGCACCCCCCTCTCCCTCCTTCCTTTGCTGACCGCTTGCTGATTTGCTTCCCTGGGAACTTGACGGGATCAGAAGAGGCTGCAGAGCATTCATCGAGTTGTGGAGCGGACACAGGCAGCCAGAGTCGTCATGGCTGTGTCCCAAGAGCGGATTGTGTGTCTGGGGCTCTGGGTGCTCCTTTTGCTCGGTGCAGGCATGGAGGTAGCAGTGGAGGGATGTAGCTGCCACCCAGCACACCCACAGCAGCTATTCTGCAGCGCTGAGATCGGTAAGTTTTTGACGGGAGATCAATGTAGTTTGAGTTCACGCAGATTAAAGTGCTGCCTTTATTAGTGATTGTAAGTTATTCTGTGAATTCAATAACAACATGGGAGTGCCCCCCCTCTGAACTAATTGATTGATCATTTGGTTTATTGATCAACTTAATGAGGATACATTTCATTCCAAAGAGTAAACCTGCTGATACAGAACTAATCAATAGAGCCTCAAGGCGAAGCTTCTCACAGCAGTTGATTTATTATTGTGGATTTTTCCAGCTTTATTAATAGAAAATATTAATTGTACACAGAAAGATTCCAGAGTCAATGTCATTAAAGCATTATATAGGATGAATGTATAGTTAGTAATGTGGTAATTGGGCAATTAGTGGAATTATTATTGATTAGTATTAGTTATTTTAGAAAAAAATAGATGCAGCCTTGTTTCTTTTGTTTTCTTTTTTCTTATTTGTCCCTTTATGTGAAAACAGGGCAGCTCAACTATCTGTTTTTTTGTGGTTATATATTTCAGTCGTCTTGCTCCCAATCACATAAAAACAAACCCTAGAAAACAGACAGCACTGTGTGGCCCCGGCCTACTTTCTATCTGTCTGTGTGTCGAGCTGTCTGCCTGTCTCTCTGTCTGACACCCCCCGTCATCCTCTTCTGTCTTGTCTCAGCACAGGCCAAAACCAACACTCTGCTCTGACTCTGAGTACTTGGCTCCAGGCTGTGGAAAGCTGGAGTATGTGCTTCTGTCAAAGGTTACACTCCAGCAGAGGAGAGCGAGGGAGAGAAAGTCGAGGAAGAATAGTCTTGTTATCTAATTGGTCTGAATCTCACTTCAGGTTTAGAGAAGGGTTAGCTGCTTCACAGTGCTTTAAAAAATATGTGCCTCAAAAAATAGTCAGTATGAAATGGTGGCTGAGGCCTGTTTTCAAAACCTCTATTACACCAATTAGATCTGGGTTATGGGAACACACTGGGAGTTGGACTATTTGGGGCAATGTTTTTAGGACAGTTTCACATATGAAGTGTGTCATCCATGAGTGAGATATAAGAGCGATTATTCTGTTTTGTTAGTAAGTTAGTAAATACTTATTTACTATCGTTATCAACTACGTGGGCTTCTTGACATTGACTGGTTAGTAGATGGCGTGCTTTTGTCTGTTTGTATGAACTGACGATGAATGAACCGGTTCCTTTCATTAATCTCATTGCCACTGTAACATCATCATGGTACTTGACACTAATTTGAATGTGCCAAATGAACGTTCTCATCGTTCAAACATTATGTTGTTGGAGGTGAACAATCCTGTGCAACTCAGTTTCTAGAAAGATCAGTGACTGTTGAGCTTTTTTAAAATTGAACCATGGTTCAGTTTAATCAGGATGAGGGAACCTATTTTGGTCGGACTAAAGTTTGGTCCTTTGGTCTTGACCGTGATACGAGGTACATTTCATACAACCTGAACTGAAAAGTCTGAAATTCCTGACCAAATAAGGTCGGTGTGAAAGCATCCAGTTCTCAAAGTTTATGACCATAATGACTTTAGTGTGAGGGCATGAAACAGACATTATTCTCCATCATGTAGCCAACATTCAAAAACTAAAACAACATTTTCAAGACAAGCCCATTACGAAATGCATATTACATGGTCAGCCACAGTTTCTCGTTTGAAGCACTGCATCAAAAGAAAATTGGTTCTAATTGCTATCCAATCATAGCTTAGCAGCAACCAGGCTGGTAAAATGGTCTGTATTTCTATGGCTTGGGGAAGAGGGGAAGACTGAGTTTGAACTGCTGACTTTCTGGTAAGAGGACGACCGCTCATCACCTGAGCCACAGCTCGCAAGCTAGAGATTTATCCCTGTGTTGAAGCAGTGAGCATGAGGCTGTAGTAAGAGCAATACTTGGTAATCTAAGAGTTAATCCTTTAGCACTTCTAACTAATGAGCTTACTATCTGCAGTAATAATGCTAGCATACTTCCAAAGCCATGCAGCAAAGAATTACCAAGGTAAATATCATTGTTTGTTAACAGGTAGATGTTCCATTTCCTTTTTTCCCCATACCAATTCCAAGACTTGGACTTTGCATATTGGCTGATACCAAGTACCGATCCGATGCCAGTACATAAAACACTACTTGTATAACATATATTAATAGTAAACGCTACACAACCGAAATCACTTCCTCTTCGTCGATATGAAATGCAAACCACTGAGTGCAAACCTATTTCTAGGATTTTTTTAAACGAGTCAACAGACAAAGAGTTTTAAACCTGCTGGCTAAGATAAAATATAAACAACAGGTAATCACTGACTGTTGGCTGCTTCTGTTTACCTCTGTGTGAAATCAATAACGCATTTTTTCTGCAAACAATTTCAAATAGAAAATCGCCCACAAATATACACGTATTGTAAATTCCGTATGTCCTGTGCATGGACAGGAAGCTTGGTGGGTGTAACAGGAGTAACTCAGTAGGAGCAAGGTTTGGCACAAGGTCAATTAACTACATGTTCATTTGTAATTAGGTCCTATTTCCTGTGGTCTGTTTGGGGCCTTGCCACTGTATTTAGATTTATACGTTTTGAGTGCGTCAGTGATCCCCTTTTCAGGTAGGATGCAGTTTCCTGTACCCATAAAAAACAAATAGGGAAAATGCCTCATTTACAGTAAGTGCATCTGAGATAACCTTTCATTTAGTAGTTTAACTGTCCTGGTTTCTTATAAGGATAGACTGGTGGTGGCCTTTAGTTGACCTGACAGTGTTGTTGACAGAGTCACTGAACCCTTTGAATAAAGCTGTACATCTGACTAATATCCCATCTGGACAAACCTTGTCCAAATCCCTCTCCATGACCGTGTATTTTAGACTGTGTGTGTAGGTGTGTGTGTGTGTTGGACAGAGGCCAAGCCATGCCAACACAGCCTAATCCATCTCTCTCTCTTTCTTTCCCTCGTTCTCCCTACTTCATTTCCATGTCTATAGGCTTGGTCTATTGGGCTGCATACTAACAATATCAGAGTGAAAGCCCACTGACAGTCCAGCTTTGTGAGCATGACAAGGGTGCCGATTCATGTGGGAGGGGGGAAGTTACTTACTACATCAGTTCTCATGGTACAAGTTTGCAATATTTCTTGGGTTATGTAGCCGTGAGGCGGATGCACGGACCCTTTCACTCTGCAGGCATGCCTGTCCTGATTCCTGTTTGTTACACAGCTGCAGCAGTTGAATCGAGTGGGTAAACTAGTCTGTCCGGTTCAGAGGATGTCGAGGTGGGGGGTAAATATTCCAGAGAATCTGGACCAAAATAATCAATCATTAGCTTTGAATGAAACAAGCTATGTGTTAAATTTTTGCACAACACCTCATCAAGTGCTATTAAGATTGGTAAGAGCAAATACTGTATTGATAAATGATTAAAAGCACTGATCTGCTTTCATACTAAACTGTCTTTTCTTGGCTAATTGGCGGCAGCAACTTCTGTCCTCCTACATGTTGCACTGATGTACGGCCAAAGCCCAAACTGCCCACGATTTGATCCTTTCAAAGAGCACTGCCATGCCTTTGGGTATTACTCATCATTAATAGGCCAGATACACCCATTATTCAGACTTAAGTGGGGCAGCTCATTTAACTTAATCTAATTAAACACATTTCTCCTTGATGATCTGAACAAAGAGGGCAAAGATGGCAATAATATGATCGTTGGTATAGTGTAGTATTCCTGTATATTTAACATCAGTCTTATTCAGTGCTATAATAGTGGGAGTACTGATGTAAATGTACTGATAAGAAATGTGGCAGTTATCCTACGAAAACACTATCAACCACCAGTGAAAGAAGATATTTTTTAAATACTACAAATTACATAAATAAAAACACCCGTCAAGAGTTTGGATACAACATATTTTTTGCATAATCATTCAACAATGTGGAAAATAAAATTATTCACTATTTCTGCTGGCTTTAGTATGTTCACTAGACAGCTATCAGTTCTCTATATCAGAAAAAGTTCCAGCGTATTAGCAGAAAAAGTATCATCAGTATTGATACTACAAGTGCTCGTGATGTACATGGAATATGAAAACATTGGCTAGAAAGAAGCATTTCTGTATTTCAAGGTTGTACTTCGGCAAATGTTCAGCATGAAAAACTCTTTCTCCTCAGTATTTTAAAATTGGAGCTTCATGTATTATTGCAGTAAAAAGTAAAACATTTTCTTCTTTGAGACACAAAAATTGAAATAAACTAGCAAAAAAATAAACAACCATCTCAGAGCACTACCTCCACCAAGGAAGATTGTGTGGGTGAGTATAAAGGTAAATGTGCCCTTACAAGGTCTGACCATGTAAAATGCATTACAAGGTATTATAGAGCATCTATGTGCTAATTACACTTAGGGGTCTGACCTTTCTATTGTCTTTGTTTTGCCTCCAATTGATTTTAAAAGACTCAAGATGTTTTCTACGTCACCTCATATAAACTACACAGCTTCACACAACCAAGTTCACATTCACTTTGAAGTCCTGCCTTTCTGTCTTGCTGCATGCAAACAAACAAAATAAG